ATGTGCAATCCTGTATTTATTCTGATTACACTTTATATATTACTCTATTCATACTTTTCCTTGTCTTTATGCTGCATGTTTACTTATTTAAAACTTTTCCTCCTGTGTTTTTTGACTGTCTCTGGTTCAGTTCTTATCTTCATTAACCCTGAAAGGTTTTACTCAGGTTTTTACCACCTAAAGCAGTTTCCTATTAGAAGTAAATTATTATTTATCCTTATTATTCTAGATCTGGATCTTCAACATAGTTTATTTGCCCAGAGTCTGAACAACTAAACAAATTTAATTCTCATTATCCGGCCTCACCGAGCGCCGGCGGTTCTTCACTTGATAATTCAGCCTAATAATGTTTTAGTTATTTCTATTTTGATCTTATTTTATTTTAATTAGCTGCTGGTCCCAGGAGCAAAGCACCGGGTGGAGACAGGTGGGAGTGTGGGTGACAGGGTGAGCAGGGTCACAGGGTGAACAGGTGACAGGGTGACGCTCTCAGGATCAGGGGTGTGTTCAGGGGGGCCATATTTGGGGGCCGCTCCACCTACTTGGGCCCCAGAGGCGTCGCCAGGGGAGACCAGGGGGGAGGAGCTTTGCTGCACCAAATCAGGGAGATTGGCGTTGCCAGGGAACAGATTAGCGTTGCCGAGGAAACCGTTGCTGGCGGCAGAGCTCCGCCTCCGTTCCCCATGTTTCTGGAAAAAGAGAGAAGTAGGGGGAGGGGCTACTGTGCAGCAAGGCTATGATTGACAGGTCAGGTGTTGAGGGGACGAGGCTGAAGCTGAGAGAGGGAGCGTTTGTTTCTGTGCTTGTGTGGAGTTGGACGTTGGTATGTGCAGCGTCATCGAGGCCCAAGGTCAAACCCCGGGGTCAAAGGTCTAAACAGGGAGGTGGCTTACCTCACGCATCATCAGGGTGCCGTCCTGGGAGCTGTTCCTGTACGAGTCGTCGTGGCTGTCGTTATGACCCCCCAACATGGCGAAGGACTCGTTTGTACCTTGACTCGCTGCCGGCCTGAAAGACAACGTCAGCATTTTAATTCATAATCTTTAAATATGACAAATAAAACTTGAAACTGGACGTTTTTACTGGGAAGCTTCAGGAGAACGTCAGAGAACGTCTGCAGCCGCTGATTCGCACGTTTGTGTTTTCACATCCAGCCCCTGACGATGATTTCAGGTTTGAAAGCATCGTCACACTCACATGATGCGAGGGATGTCGCTGACAGCCACCGACCCATCATTGGCCCCGCCCTCTCCCTCCTCGTCCTCGCTGCTGTGAGACTCCTCGCTGGACGACGAGTAGTCCGTCACTTTGATGGGCGGGCGGCTGGTCTCCTCCCCCTGTCGCAGCTCTCTCAGCTCCTTGGCCAGAGCCGTCAGGTCCTGCAGGACACGAAGACACAGAAACATCAACAACGTCTATTCTGCTTCACGTTCTCGCTCTGAGTGGGAAGAACGACACACAGAGTGTTTTTACAGCTATGGTTAGTATAATTACAGGCTTTATTTTAAGAGTTGTGAGGTTTTATATCAGTATTTGTATCAAACACACTGGCTATTACAGGGGCAGGAGGACGGGGCAGGAGGACGGGGCAGGAGGACGGGGCAGGAGGCAGGAGGACGGGGCAGGAGGACGGGCAGGAGGACGGAGTCAAGCTGCAGATGCCTCAGTGCAGGAAGGTTAAAGGTTAAAGTCCTGTAGGCGGGGCAGGGCAGGCAGGGCGGGGCAACGTGCTTGTAATTTGAGTCATATGTGACGGGGAGCGGAGGGGATGGGGGGGGGGGGTTATCTTACCAACTCCTCCTGACGAGAGAGAGAGACAGAAGAGAACAAACGAGCGAAAAAGAGAGAGAGAGTGTGATTGTGGAAATGAAACACGAGAGCAGAGATGACAACGAGGACAAACATGTCCAAACAGAACGTCCCTCAGGAGACTTCGTACGTCCACTGAGGCCGAGATGAAGCTGCTCCAACACTGAGCCACTTTCAAAAGGCTGATGTCAAATTCCATGAAACCAAAGTTCAAGATTTACAAACCAGCTCCAGAGCTGATGTTTCTGACCAATAGGAAGAGGTTAAAGTTTCTTTGCTGACAGAAAACATACAGAAGTCAAGCTTTTCTCATATCACCTGAACTAATGTCTATTTAACATTACAACTTTAACTCTAATCATAATAATCATAATAATAATCCAGTATCCTGAAGGTTGGAATCTTTAAACTCAGGTGTTGCAGCTGTCCCTACTTTAATTAAAGTTTTTATAATTGTGTTGGAATCAAACTTGAAATTAGATAAATATTTTAATTTGTCTAAATGTGTTCTCAAGATTCAAATAAGGTCACTGTGACCTTTGACCTTTGCCGTGTAATCAGCCGACCCATGAGTCCCAGTTGACTCATTTTGTGCCAAATCAAAGTGTTGTTGAGATTCGTCCTCTCCAGACTGGGACGGACCACCTGAAACATTACGATTCTGGCCACTAGGTGTCGCTGGTGTGGAGACATGAGTGTTATATAAATCAAATGATCTTTTAACTCTTTAGCTTCTGCTTCTGTCTGTCGGGGTGAGAGGAGGAGACCTGAGGGGGGGGGGGGTGAGAGAGAAAATGTCACTGACCTCGTCTACAGCTTTCTTATAACTCTGATGGAAGGAGGGATGAGAAGAGGAAGAGAGCGACAACGAACAGCAACAAGGTTAGTTCAGAGAGAGGTGTGTGTGTGTGTGTGTGTGTGTGTGTGTGTGTGTGTGTGTGTGGACTCACTGCGGGCCTGCTGGGTCTCGTCACCTCTCTGCTGTCGTCTTTGGCGTCATGGGAGGAAAGTGTGGAGCCTTCAGTCTTATTGGAAGAATTACCTGAACACACACATGACGATTTCAACATGTATGGTCAAAAACACGCCTGTGTAACACTGTGTGTGTGTGTGTGTGTGTGTGTCTCTTTCTTTGTGAGGACGTTTACAACCTGATACATGAGGACATTTTTTTAATAAGCAAGGAATATTTATAAAATTTAGAGGGCGTAGATTTTTCTATTATTAATATTTGTTTTGAGAAACGACGACGTGTGAAAATAAGAAACATGTTTGTAAAGAATTTGAGAGAATATTCCTCAAAAAGAAAAGAGGACAGCGAGGACGTCTATCATTGAAGACAGAGGACGAGAAATGAGACACGCGTTTGAAGAAGAAGAGTCTTTTTGAAATGTCAAAAGTTTCTCATTCTTGACGGTGTCTTTAACAAAGTGAGTAAACTTTCCCCAGGAACATTTAGGATCGGACTTCTGTTCCGACAGCGGCCGGATTCACTGAGATGAATGTGATTGATGGAGACGGGGCGCCGCGGGACAGAGGGTCCTCACAGGTGCACACAGTACAAAGGTGTGAGTGTGCACCTCGCTCGTTGGAGCCTCCCTGGGAACTCGGGGTGCTGGAGCTGGAGGAGCTGCCGCTGCTCGTCCTCTTTAGGGGCGTCTCCATGGAAACGTCGATCCTCCGCAGGTCGGGGTTGCTAAGGCAACACAAACACAGGGTTGTCTCATTCATGCAGGAAACTGTGAAATCCAGCTCTTAAAAAAATCCCACACCTGCGTCTCCAGAGTATGTGTGTGTCTGTGTCTGTGTGTTCGGTGTGTGCATGTGTGTGTGTACAGTGTATGTATGTGTGTGTGTGTGTGTGTGTGTGTGTGTGTGTGTGTGTGTGTGTGTGTGTGTACCTGGCCCGGATGAGGTGAGCTCCAGCCCGAGGACCGAGGCCAGGTCCGTTTCCTGGAGAGTTCCTCCTGACTAACGCAGGAGAGATGGAGGTCGTCCTCTGAGGAACCTGCAAACACACAACACAGTCGTGTGCGTGAGGAGCCGCACAAGCTTTCATGTCACACACTCGACAACACGAGACGGAGAGTGTGTATGAAGACATGATCACATATAAAGAACATGTGGACAAACACATTCAGTTCTCATCCCGTAAATAAAATCAAATACAAATGAGACTTGAGAGAAATTAAAGCAACTGATACATAAAGGAAATAAGATATGTGGCATCTCATATATATAATGTTCAAATAAAATCTATGTTTAAACAAATACACACAAACACTGATTAGATTTATCATGACGATAAATTTTAGCCTTAAATTTACAGTTTACAACAATAAGTTAATTTGAAGGATCGGTAAAGATTACAGGACGCACACTGGTCAATGAGTGCTTTGAGATTAGGATCAATATGATCAGGTGACGACACATCAGGTGCAGAAATAATTCAAAAGACACAAAAACTAAATGAAGAGAAAAACGATCACGGACGTTTAAAGAAAGACAGAATCCAGGAAAAAGCAAAGTTTTCTCCCACACACACAAACACAGACACACACTGGGCGGAGCATGCAAAGACCTTGGGGGGCATGTCGTCGTCCTGCCGCAGCCACGAGCTGCGGTCCAGCTTGTCGAGGGGGGGCGCCAGGCGGGACAGGGGCGGGGGAGGTGGGGTGTCGGAGGTGGGGTCGGAGTTCTGCCGGGGCATGGGAGGCCGGGAGGGGGAGGGCGACGCCGAGGAGGAGGACACACCGTGGGGGTCATACAGAGACTGGGAGCCTGAGAGGCCGTGACTCTTCACCTGCACCAGGTGGGCCATCTGGACACACACACACACACACACACACACACACACACACACACACACACACAAGCAGAAAACAGGCAGGGGGGGGGAGCAGGATCAGGATTTGCACATCAGAGGAGAAGATGCAGGGGTGAGGAAAAAGGTGAAGAAGGAAGGAAACACGTGCGTCAGGCTGCGTTCACACAAACCATCTTCAAACACACAACTTTGTTTTCTCCGTTTGTTCCTGGAGATTTTCACAAAGTCTCTGTTTCACATTTGAAATGAAACTAAACCTGAACAAACGAAAGGAAGCGTGAGGAGTTAACGTCCGAGCTCAGCTGCTCCTCCACAGTCGAGACGTGGCGTTCACTTCCTGTCTGACCACGTCGAGGAGAAAAGCTCGGATTCTTTTTTCTTGGATCTACAGACTGAAGGGGAGCGGATCTACCTTCACACTCCGCCGCAGCCGGCTCCGCCCTCGTTATCAGTGATCTCAAGACACTTACACTCCGTCACCTGGGAGAGAAACTCGCTCTCAAACTGAAGAGGAGGATCATCGATTTTCTGATTGATAAATTAATGAAGAAGAAAAACGATGAAGAAATCCATCTCATCCAGATCGATGTCACCATGAAGCTGGCGACTAAAAATAAAAAAACATCCTCTGTAGAAAAACTCACTGTTTCTTTCTTCTAGTAAAAAAAACTCACAGATTCTACGTCCACACAGAGAAACCAAACCTCCGGTGGACGTTCCTGTCACACACACACACACACACACACTGGGAGATGTAGGGTGCACACCTGGGGTTCGACGGAGCGGTGCATGGGGGGGGTCCGGGCCTGCTGGATGCCTCCGCTGCTGAACGACTCGGAGCGCGGCGGCAGCGACGGGTCCGAGATCCGGTTGGAGATTTTGTGCTGCAACAAAGGAGAAGAAGTCTGTTCATCTTATTATACTCCTGACACACACACACACACACACACACACACACACACACACACACACAGTGAAGCGCTGAACCTCCATGTTTTTAATGATAATATGTAAATAATGAGCCGATGTAAGTTCATCACAAACATTAAATATAATTTATACTTGATTTAAAATCAAAAGTCGCAGAATGAGCTGAATAAAAGGTCGAAAGGAAAAAAGCCAAATTTAAATTCAAGGTGCTGCACAGATGAAAAGGGACTTTAGTCGCCGTGGTTACAGGCGACCAGCGGAGAGTTCATTATTTCACGAAAGCAGCAGATCTGAACCGTTTTCTGAAAAACGCCGGCTGCAGCGGGTTCTCAGGGTTGTGTCTGTGTGATGGAAATATATCTTCACTGGGGAATCCTGGGAGGCCGAGGGTAGACCTGTCTGAACAGTGTGTGTGTGTGTGTGTGTGTGTGTGTGTGTGTGTGTGTGTGTCCATAAGGAGAGAGACTGATATAGCCACAGCTGCCCTACATCGCTCCACCACCAGGGCCACCAGGAGGCGGACCTGGAGAGCTGCCCTACATGTGTGTGTGTGTGTGTGTGTGTGTGTGTGTGTTGTGTTGCCTTTGATTTACGGAGGTCAGGGTTCAGATATGGAGCACTGCATTCCTCACAGAACACACACTCTGGTGTGACATTCACACAGACGGTTGTGAGTCTGAAACCCATCGGGGTCAAAGTTCAAGAGTTCGAGTTCAGTTCAGTAAAAACAGAGATTAGAGAGAAATAAAGACACAGAAGCTTCAACCACCTGGAAGTAAAAGATAAAGTGAGTTTTGAGGTTAAAAGAGAAGACGTGATGTTAGTTTGAGTTGCTGATGTTAGTACATGTTACATACATGATACATACATGATACATACATGATACATACAGCAGCTCTCAACCTGACGGCCAGGAGATCAAATACAAATCACTGCCACCACTGTTTATTCCTATAGATTACAAACAATGTGAATTCATTATATTATATTATATTACATTATATTTTATTTTATTATACTACATTACATTATATTATATTATATCAAATTAAATGATATTACATAATATTATATTATATTATATTATATTATATTACATTATATTATATTATATCAAATTAAATTATATTACATAATATTATATTACATTATATTTTATTGCATTATATTATGTTACATTATATATTATATTATATCATATTTTATTATATTATATTACATTACATTATATTATATCAAATTAAATTATTTATTACATAATATTATATTATATTATGTTACATTACATTACATAATATTATATTATATTACATTATATTATATTTTATTGCATTATATTATGTTACATTATATATTATATTATATTATATTGCATTATATTATACTGTTATATTACATTATATTATATTACATCATATTATCTTAGATTACATGACATTATATAATATTATATTATGTTATGTTAAATTACAATATATTATATTACATCATATTATATTATATTATATTATATTATATTATATTACATTATATTATATTTGATTATATTAATGGTAATAAAAGCAGCAGGTTGAGAGTCACTGCAGTAAAAGATGAGGAAGGATCCCACAGGTCTGCAGTGAGTAACCTGTAACATGAGGTGAAGGTTAAAGTAAAGGATTAAAGCTGTGGAGAGAAATTCTGACAAAAAAAAAAAAAAGAACACGGAGGAGATGAGATGAAACTGGAACCAGCAGCAGGAGTCAGAACGTGGAGCTGAACTCCTGCAGAGAACAGGTGAGTTCATAGTTCAGCCCTGAGTCAACGTGCGAGAGTCGTCGTTAGTGGAATTCAATAACTGAGCCGAGGTTAGTGTCTGGACAGACGTCCGGATGAGACAGGAGGAGGAGTTAAGTGTCTGTTCTCCCTCGGACTGACCCTGCGGCCTGGGCTCCGGCCCCTGGAGTCGGGGCTCTGCTGGCGCATCACGGGCTGAGAGGCGTCTGCGCTGCGGCTGGGGACACAGGTGACACGGATGCGAGGCACATGCTGGTGATCCCTGGAGGGGCTGATGTGGGCGGGGTAGGATGGGGGGCGGCGGCGGCGGGGTTTGTAACCGGGCAGTAAGAGGAGGTTGTCGAGGTTGGCGGGTCGCGTCTCCCTGAAGGAGTGGTACTTCTTGGGAGGGATGCGAGGCGAGTTGCTCTGAGCGCGACGCATCACCTGGAGATCAAGGTCAGCGTTAAACAACGTGCACGACGCACAGCCGGAGAACACAGCACGTGACGCTTATCTCAGGTGACACAACCGCCGGCAGCCGAACAGGAAGTCCACGGATCGGCTGGTTTACAACAAACTTACGATTCATTTCAGGCAGATCGTGACTTTGAAATAAATATAAATATCATATCTCATCATCTTCATCTTCCTGTGGTCGATTTAAAACATCCTGAAACGAGGGATTCGCTCTGTTTGCAGAGACGGTTTTAATTAGAATAAGGAAAAAGAAAGTGCAACTCTTCTCTTTTCTCTCGTTTTGTAAAGACCACTCTGGACCGAAACTCTTCATCTGACAAAAGCACAAAAAACAAGAATTTAACAGCAAATCAAATGTTGAATTCTGTCGTCGCACCTGAAAAAGACAAATATTTTTAGGAGCGAACTCTGATTCAGATTCAGCAGATCGAGTTCAGACGAAACCTGGAGGTTAGAAACAGAACATTTGTCAGAGTTCTTCTCCTGAGAGCTTCGGTTCTTATGAATGAAGAAAGACCTGTCGTCACTTGTGTGTGTGTGTGTGTGTGTGTGTGTGTGTGTGTGTGTGTGAGAGTGTGTGTTTTCTTGTTCCCTCATGCAGACCGGCCTTCACTCTGCGGAGCTTCACCTGAGACTCACAGCGGAGCATCCTCTGAATCTGTGTGTGTCCATATGAGGATTTAAACAATAAATCAACGCAGACACGTCTCAGGTTCTGCTCGTCCAGAACAAAACGTTTTCAAACTAAAACACAGAGTAGTGTGGACAATGCACCTGTTTTAGGAGAATACGTTTTCTGGGCCGGTTCTTCTGAAGTAAAATCAGTCATCTTGATTTCGCTCTGTGTGTCTCTACCTCTTTGGCCCAGGCGGGCTTGTCGTTGGTGCCGGGCGCCTGATCCTTGTAGTGGTACAGCTGCTTCTTGTCCTGCGGCGGTCGCAGCGGCTCCTGCTGTTGTTGCTGCTGCAGCGACACCAGATACGCTCGCTCCTGCTGCAGCTGCCTCTGCAGCCGCTCGGCCTGCCGCTGCTCCTCGATCTGCTTCCGCTTGTACTCCTGCTCATCAAGCACAAAGAAAACGAGAGGTAGACACTAAAGCACAACGGTAGAGAGAGAACTCGAAGATTATAAAGTCAGTCCTGCTTCGACATGAGGTCGAAGATAAGACAGAAGAGAATCACCTCGATGTTCATCCAACATTAGTGAACTCTATATTTATTCTTTTATATATCGCTGATCTTTAATCATTTCAAATATTGTATTTTATTCAGTTTTTACGTTCCTCATCTCAACATTAGTATTCTCATGTTGTGTGATGTTCAAACTGCTTCTAACGACAGAGTGAGTTCATATCCAGTGTCTGTTCGTGTTTCCCTGTGTTGACTCTGAATCCAGCTGAGACTTTGTGTTTTATTTTGAAATAAATCTCTCCAGAAGTTCTCCCACAGCGTGACACAGCCTCGTTCCACTGGTTTCCTGTGTGTCTGTGTGAGTCGTTACCAGCAGTAAGGCCTGCTCCTGCAGGAGCTGCTGCTGCAGGATCTCCAGCTGCCTCTGCTCCTCCTCCAGCTGTCTACGGATATACTCCTAACCAGTCAGCACCCAGGGCCAGAGAGAGACGCGGCCAATCGCAGACCACCGAGGCGGGCGAGAAGCAAATCGGAGCCCAGGCAACCGGTGACGTCAGCAGAGCAGGAAATAGGAGGCGATTGAAAAGAGGAGGACAGGCAAAAGTAGATTTATTGAAGAGGTGGGAAAGTCGGGAATTAGGCAGAAATAGACGAGGGCAGATAAAAAGAGAGAGACAGCAGGGGGCTGCGATCAGTGGAAGAGGAAGACATGCTTATTAGTGGAGGGGGGACGTTAAACAGCAGCATGAACCCAGTCGTGCAAGAGGTAGAAAGGTAGATGTGAAAGATAGAGCGACGGAGGAAAGTGTCCCGTCTCCTCTGTCACATAATAATGAATGTGTGATGTTAATGCAGCTGAGACTCATCACGACTTTCTCAACATCGGGATTAAAAACATCCATGTTCCGCTTTTGAAGCGAATCGTAGAGACGACCACGTGTTCTGGGGGAGGTGTTCCCAGGGCTGATGGGATGTGTAGTCCCTCCAGTCTGGGTCAGGAGGCATCATGGCGAGATGCTCCAACCACCTCGACTGTCTGAGCCCAGACACCCGACCACACAAACTCTTTTTTGGCTGCTGTTTTACGCAATTTCCCAGGAAGTTAAGGGAAATCGTGGCTAGGGACAGAGGGACGTCTGGTCTCGTCCCCGAGCCCCTGATAAGTGGAGGACAATGGATGGATGATGGATCGTAGAGATCGTGAAGTTTTATGTCATGTCCACAGTTCTACTCTGATGACCGATGAGACAGAGGCGCCGTTTGGTCTTTTATGCGTGACGTGAATAACGTGACACCTGTGACGTGTCGTCCTTCAGTCAGGCGTCCTCTCACCTGCTCTCTCTCGGCGTGCCTCCTCTCCTCCTCTCGACGGAGCTGCTCCATCTCCTCGTACCTCCTCCGCTGCTCTCGCTCCTGCTGCTTCCTCAGCTCTCGCTCGCGACGCTGTTGCTGTGGGTGGAAAAGATTGGACACAGCGACGCTTCAGCTCTGAGTACGTGTGTGTGTTTGTTCAGGTGTGTTCCTCTGGCATCGGGACGAGCTGAGGCGCTGACGTCACAGATGTGGGAAGAAAAAGATGCACTGGATGAAACAGACACACCTCCTCCAGCCGTCGCCTCTGCTCCTTCTGCTCCTCGATACGTTTCTGCCTCTCGGCCAGTAGTTGGCGCTTGTGCTCCTCGTTCTGCTGCTGCTCCAGCTGCTGGCGCCGGATCAGCTCCGACCGCTCCTTGTTGGCCAGCTGGAGACGCAGGAAGTCCCGCCTCAGAGTGGACTCCCCAGGAATGTTGATGATGGAGCTGGAACAGAACCAATGAGAGCAGGGGTATCAGTAATTGTATTAGTAGAACTGTAGTAGCAGTAGTACTATCAGTAGTAGAAGATATACCTGGGCTCTCCGGCGTCTCTTTCTTCATCCTCTTCCTCACTGCCACTGTACTCATACTCTGTCTCGTCTGGAGGAAACACACACACACACGTTAGCATCAGCTCTTCTCAGACCGCCGCTCGTCTTCAAACAGCCCGCGAGCATCCTCACCCCTCTCCCCCCTCCTCTTCTTGGTGCGGTCGATGTGGTCCTTCAGCTGGATGCGGACCTGCCGCTCGTTGGGAAGGTCCCGGATGAACGGGTGCTTGAGGAGCTGCTCAGTGCTCGGCCGCTGACTGTGACTCTTCACCAGGCAGCTCTCGATGAACGACTGGAACTTCTTCGACCTGGAAACACACGAGTTTAGACCCACGACAGTTACAGTGGTGGTCAGTACTGTGTGTGTGTGTGTGTGTGTGTGTGTGTGTGTGTGTGTGTGTTCTCACCACTTCTTGGACTTGAGTCTAGGTGCAGGATTTCTGGGGATGAGGAAGAGCGCTCTCATTGGATGCATGTCACACAGAGCTGAGGAGGAAGAGAGAAGGAAAGAAGAGGAGATGAAGGAGAGGAAATGATGGAAGGCAAAAAGGAAAAGAAAGGAGGGGAAGAGAGGAGAGGAGAGAAATGAAGGAAACAGGAAAGTAAAGGAGGGGAAGGGAAAGAGAGGAGATGAGAAAGAGGAGGGGAGAGGAAAGGAAAGAAATGAGGCCAAAGGAAACAGGAAAGGAAAAGAAAAAGGAAGAGGAAAGGAAAAAATAGGAAATTAGTGTGTGTGTGTGTGTGTGTGTG